ACAAAAGGTTTGCGTAAAACTCGTCACTAAAGCGGTACCCAAAAGCGGTCAACGCTTTGGCCAACTCTCGCGCGTCGATGTGTCCAGAATTGTCGCCATCGAAGCTCTGGAAACACTTGAGCCAATCCGTGACGTAACGCCACAATCGCGTGAAGTCCGCGAAATCGATTGTTTTGCTGTTTTGCGAGTCAAACATCGCTATCATTAACGAGATCTGCGATTAAGACACGGATTATGACAAATATAGACACGAATGTCGAGACAATTACGGTTTGGATGTCAAAGGGACGGAAGGTTCCGTTGGAAAGCGCCGACTGGAGTTCACTGGCGTTGATGTGTCCGCTGCCATCCCTGTCCACTGACCGGAAGTGTTGTTCCAGTTGTCGCGCGTCCGCAACCGATTCGCCGCTCATTTTTAGTCACTTTTGTTTACAACATTTATTGTCCATAAATAACGTGCGAAACAACTTTCAATCGAAACTCTTTTCGTTCAAAACTTTCGGATCTTTCAATAATTGGTTTCTCTCCCGTTCTCTCACAGACGAGATCGTTGACACCGCGAGGCTTTTCTCCCGAATTAATCAGAGTTTAGTTTGGATTAAAGTTTATTTGAATAAATGACAACAATTGCAGTTTCAACCCATCGTCTCGTCCTTCGCTCTGTGAGTCCTCTCGAAGTGGAATTTCATCGCTTGTCGCGATTGGAACCGTTGGACACATCCCTCGTGTTCGCAACCGAACGGCTTCTCACCTGCAAAGCAAAGCACGTTGAGAACAGTGTCACCGCAACACTTGACAACCCGTGTGTTTCAACGTATGCGCCTTCAAGTGGTGGCTCTGGCGGAACGTCCACTCGCAGTGCCGACACTTGTACGGCCGCTCATCCGTGTGTCTCTTCTTGTGCGCTCTCACGCCCTGCGGATACCACGACTTGTAATCGCAACCCTGCAAACACCAAACATCAGTTCCGAACACAACAACAACGGTCTTACGGGCCAATCACAGGCGAACGCTTTCGTGCCTTCGTGTGTCTCTCGATGTCGCGTCAAATTGCGTTTTATGGGAAACCGTTTGCCGCAACCCTTTCAACACAGACAGCATTAGTTCCGATACAACTCTCTCTCTCTCTCTCTCCTCACCGGCCATTCGCACACGTATTGCTTGTCTCCGGTGTGACGCCACAGATGTGTCTTCATATCGACTTTGGCCTAAAAACAACACGTTATGAGAGAAGCGATGGAAGCGTTGCTCACTTTGAACTGTTTGTGACATTGCGGCCAAACGCAGGCAAACGTGTGCTCAGTCTTCGGGTCGCACTTCGGCGCGCGTTTGGCGTAAGTCTTGGGTCGCGCCACGAATCGCTTCAGACGCACGATTCGTTCGCGAAGATCGAGATCTCTTCCGTCTTCTGTTTTGGTCATCGAATCAAAGAGCGTTTGTTTTCGCGTTTCGTCTCCGAAGCTCTGAAAGTGAGCCAAAAGTCACTCAAAGGCGATCCC